TATCATGACGTCACAACGTCAAACTCGTTATTCGATAAGATCTAAATGGGACTTTTGTTCCATTCAAACAAAATCAACCTTTGACCTAGTCTTACTTGCACCCTGTTTACTTGACAGTAAGAATCATGGCACATGTGAAGTTGTCAGAATACTGTTTTCTTTTCTTTAATGTATCGGCTCAAGATGTAAACATTTAGGAACGCGTTTCCGTCCTCTATCGCTTCAACTTCCAAAACCTTTATTTCCTATTGCGGGCGTTCCATTAGTAGAGCATCATATTGATCAACTATCACAGGTATGTCTTGCTATCTTATTTGTATTTTTGCTTGTCCATCTTCGCGATAGGGATCGGATAATCATCGTTTTTGTCAATTTTGATTTTGATTGACATTTGCTGTAGTAAAAAGAAAACTTTGTGAATCTTTGAATAAAAATGTGTAGTTAGATATTGGAGAACATCTACATAAAGTCGGGCTGCAAGGGGTAGAGTCGTGCCTATCCCTTGCGTGATCTTCCCCAACATGATAGTGTATGAGTCATTTATAAAATCGTGACGACTGATTCTACTGCGGTCTTTGCGCTCACAGGATCATAGAACACTCATAAAAAGCATCACCTCAGCACTAGGCTCAGTCACTTCCAGTGTCTAAATACTATCATACCTAAGCAGAAAAACCGTCTGAGAAAAGCTGAAAACCAAGAATACGCGATTGCCGGAAGTGCATGCGTCTCGCGCGCGGCCGCGTCATCGTCACGATTTTTCAAATGCCCTATACATGTGTACTAGCATGTAAAAGAACATATCCTGAATTTCATCTCTGACCTTTTTTTGCAGCTTTCTGGACTTTCGGAAATAGTGCTTATTGGCTCGTATTCGTCGGATCTTTTCACAGATTTTATTGGAAGATGTCAACAAACTTACCGTATCTCCATTAAGTATGCCCAAGAACAGCAGCCAATGGGTAAGCTGCAGCATGTTTGTTGCTATCCTTATTCTAGTCCATTGTTTAGTAAAAATGTGCAGATGCGGGGTGTGAAACGCATCCTTAAACTTGAAATGTGTTTTGAATCGAAAGTAGGTCTCCATGTGGATTAGCTACGCTATTTAGGCACCGCTGGTGGTCTGGTGGCTCATAGAGAACTGATTCTCAAAGATTCACCTGCTGCGCTATTTGTCATTAATGGAGATGTTTGTGGTGATCTTCCCGTCGATGAGATGGTTAACCGAATTGCTACCCTACCCGAAGACAGCTGTTTACTTCTGACCACTGAGGCAACTCGAGAACAAAGCGGTAATTTTGGAAACGTGGGTGTTAGCATAATTTC